CGGCTAGATTCTGGAATCAGTTTGAAGATAGAGGAGACTGGATTTGCTGTGACGGGGCGTGGGGTGTAAGAGAATGGGAGCACTCAGGACGGCTCCCAAGTGTTGGCCTGAGCCACTTGGAGTTGCCATTAACGGAGGTAGAGAAGGCAAGGAGAAGCAGGTTGGGGTTGGATGGAACCACAAAGTCGGATGACCCACTATGTTGGAGCTGCTACTGGACGTCCAAGTGGAGGCAGCAGGTCGGATGTGCAAGTGTGGAGCTGAAGGGCGTGTTCCCAGGAGACCTCAGCGGGGCGGGAAACTTGGGAGCCAGTATTGGGTGTGTTGATGGCATTTAAAGCCGTGGGACTGGCTAAGATCCCTCCGGGCATGAGTGTAGGCCAAGAAAAGGGCCAAGGCCTGTGCCCAAGGCCATGCCAACCTGTCTCATTGGGTGCTTACTATGCCCCAGGTGCCCACGTAAGTTCTAGCACAACACCCCTTCCAGGTAGGTATTATCCCTGTTTGGACAAAAGAGGAAGCTGAGGTTCAGAGAAGTGAGATAACTTCTCCAAGTCACACAGCCTCACTTGGCCCAGTCAGAATGGGAACCAGGACTCTGGCTCCTGGGCTCTCACATCCCCCATGTGGGCCCCACTGGCCCCGCAGGAGACTAGCTGGGATGACCTTGGACAAGGTCAAGAGAACAGCACTCGGGCAGCATGCCCACCTCCTGGGCCAGGCCGACAGTGATTCAGACCTTGGCTGTCTGCTCACGCTTGGAGTGAAGGTTGGCCATTTGCCGCCCCTGCCAGGCCCAGATTCCTTTCTGGGGAGGCGGAAGGCCTGGCTCCCTGGGACCTGGGGGAGGACAGGTGTGGGGTTCTCTTCTGAATCTCCAGGTTGCTCACACCGTGAGTTCAGGAGAGCCTTTGAGTAGGCTTCCAAGACATCTAATGGGCTGAGTGGGTTTGATTCTCTTCCTTTTTCAGAAGGCTGCCAGGGGTTATTTCCCTCTGTTTCCCTGCCAGTGCCCAGCAGCTGGGGTTCAGAGAGGTGGAGTGGTTTCCCCAAGGTCACAGAGTCAGCTATGGGGCAGAGCCAACAGACACCCTTCCTTCCCTCTCTCCCCAGTGCTGTCTGGGTCATATTTCCTCTGAGGGCAAGTGAGTCAGTCCACACCCAGCCTCCTGAGCCTGGGGCACACGTGGCTGCATTTCTGAGGCTCCTTGGCTCCCAGCCCTGTAAGCCTGACTTGGCATTTTTGGCTCTTAGGAAGTGGTTTCTTAATTCTGGCCTCTCTACATATTGGCTGTGTGACTTTGCGCAAGTTACCTAACTTCTCTGAACTGGTTTCCACAGCTATAAAAGGGAGACGATAACATCTATCCCTGGAGTTGTAATAAAGGTTCAACGTGAAAGCGCCTGGCACAAGCTCATAAACCTAAGTCGCCTGCCTTAATTCTTTCACGTGTTTTAAATTGCTTTTCATTTGAGCTGTGCTGGTTGCAAAGGCAGCCTGGCACGGCTGACTCTGACCCTGAGGACAGTCTTTCTCCCTGCTCCCAGCCACGCTAGCCACACCTCAGCCCTGGCCGCAGACTCTGCACCTGAGCTTAGCAAGGGGGGAGGGCGACGGTCCTCTGAGAAGTGGGGGCCCCCACAGCCCCACCTGGTGCTAATTATAGGCAGCCTGGCTTTTAGGAGTCTGTGAGTCCTTGCAGAGTCCTGTGAAAATGGTATTTCTGTACATCAAATCCTGTTTCCCTGCTTTTCCCATCACTGTTTCTCCTCATCCACAGAACCGCCCTTTGATGGAAAAGTCTAGACGTTGCCACCATGGGCTCTGTATCCTTGGGCAACTGCCTCCTCGTCTTGGGTCTCATCTCTTCATCTGTAATGTGGAACAGGGTGTGGGGCTGCCTCAGAGTTGTTAGCCGTTTATATGTCGCGGCACACACACAAAATGCTATTTTTCAAGGCTTTGCACCTGGAAAATGGAAGAGGCTGCTTGAACTGTGATGTCTCCAGCTGCCCAGGCCAGACAGGCCTCCCCTGGGGCTGCAAGGATCAGTATCTCCTTCCAGAGGGCTGAAGGAATTCCAGGGGTTGACATCCAGATGCTGGGGAAGCATCTCCTAGAATCCCCCGCCCCATCCACTCCAGGTAGCAGCCTGGCCAATATACCAACTGCTCCTGGCCCTTGGCCAGCTTCTGGGGCTGGGGCAACAACAGTCACGCTGCTAACCATGTTCCAGGCACAGTGCTGAAGATTATCTTGTTTAATTCTCATCGAAGCCCCATACGTATATGTGAGGGCATTGGGCACAGCGGGGAGAGGAGACTTGTACGAGGTCCCCCTGCTGAGTGTGGCAGAGCAGGAATTGCCGCCTGGGTCTGAACCAGTGCACTTACTGTAAATGGCAGGAGTGCGAGAATGCCTCTCAGGGGCTTCCCAACACTCAGAGAGGCCCAGAGCCTGAGGGAGCCATAAAAAGGGCTGTTAATGGGGAAAATGACAGCCCCATCATCTTCCTTCTTCCTCTGCCAGGGGTGGATCGGGTCCTGGCTTCTTTCTCCAAGGGACTGCCCTTGGCAAAGTGGGAGCCAGGTCCCTCAATCTCTCTTACTAAATTACTCCAGGGGCAGGGAGAAGGCGGCTTGACTCCAGGTTAGCACAAGGCACTGACCCCTACGTTTGGTGACACTAGGACAGCAGATGGCAGCCCAGGGCACTGGCTTCTGAGGTCTCGTTAGAGGCCTCAGGGCAGGTCTCCAGAACCCAGCACAAAGGCAGCTGCCAGGGTGGAGCCCCACCTTGGAGGGCGTTTTGGCGGGGTCAAGTAGCATCCTCTCCGACCTTCCAGTGTGTCAGGAGTGGTGGGAGCTGTGGGGGTGGGGAGTTGGGTGTCTTAAAGCCGGCTGTGGGAGGCCATGTCATACTTGGCTACCTTCCCATGTTCATTCTCATAACAAAATTCTTGGACTGATCATTTGAGGTCACCCTTCTCTGTCTCCTTGTGAAACGGCTTTGGCCTCTCTGGGCTGTGACTTGCTCATCTGGGAAGAGATGGGTGGAGGAGGTTAGATAGTAAATCGTACTTCACCCAGTCAAAAGAATACTACTAGGGCATTAAAAACGATGAAGTAGAGCTATATATTCTGACATGAGAAGACGGCTACAATAAATTATTATGTGGAAAAACAAATTGCATAATAGAATTTATGGTTCGATCACATTTCAGTAAAATAAATTCCTCCGTGTGGTAGTATATGCATAGGAAAAGCACCTAGATGTAGATACACCAGAGTGTTAACAGATTTTCTCTGGGGGTGGGAGGAGATTATAGTCCTGTAACATCAGTGTCCAGAGGCTGTCTGGGGCCCATGTGCTTCTAGTTTCCTGTTCTTGAAGAGAGCCCGCCTCCCTGGGACTAGGCCGACAGCCACCCAGCAAGCCCCGAACAGGAGCCCTGGACCATTTCCATGTCCCTCTAAGGAGGTGGAGGTTTGAAGGAGATAAGAACTCAGCATGGTGGCACTGGAAGGCCCTGAGGGACAGTTATGAAGTCCCATTTGACCTGTGAGGGGGCTATCCTAAAGAGACAAAGGGAATCCGTGGTAGCGATGGCTCTTCTGGCCCCAGGTGAGGGCTGGTGCTTCCGCTGCATCTTCCGCACCCAGCTTGTCTTGTCTTCCTTACATCATCGGTTATTTGACTGTTGAGATCATGGCAAGGAAGATCCTCCCGTTGATTTGCACACACCAGTGTTTCCACATCAGCTGTTAATATTATGACCCCAAGTTCTAGAAAAGGGAAAACAGGTTTGCACCTGTTTCATCAGACTTAAGAATACCCTTTGATGGGACAGTGCCTTAAAATAAAGCTGCCACTTTCCTACAATGAGCAAAATGACTGTAAATCTTGGGATAAGCATGAGAAAGTCAGCACTTGATGTTTTTAGTCACATTCAACTCTCACTTGACTGCACTAACAGAAATGCGACCTTGGTGATGATTTACATGCCTAATTGTGACTGGGGGGCAAGCTTTCTGTCGCAGATTTTGTGGAGCTCTGCACACATTGGACGCCATGATGGTGGGACCATGATGTTGGGAACTGTGATATGGGGAGATGAGGAAAGCAGGGACTGGATGGGGATGGAGACCAGAGGGGCAGTACATGGCCTATACAGAGCCCCTTCTGCCCCAATCAGGTCCTCAGGGGTCCTTGGCAGTGTGTAGTGATTGAGACCAGTGGCTCAGGGGCCATAGTCCTGGGTTCAATTCCCGCCTCCTCTTCCTCAGCGCCTAAGCCTCAGTTTTCCCATCTGCATAATGGAGATACTAGCACCTACCTCATCGTGGTGTCATGAGTCAGCCCACACAGAACACTTAGGATGGTGCCTGGCACAGAGTAAGCCTTTGCTGACTCCTAGCTCTCCTGTGTTAGGAGAGAACTGTGGCTGCAGCTGGAGAGAAGCAGAAAGCAGAGTTCTGCCGCGGCAGGGGTGGCCGTAATTCCCTTGGCCACCACGCCGAGCTCAAGTTCGTTGCGCTGCGCCCCTGACTGTGTTTCCCTCGGTTTCAGGTGGGAGCGTCCGTGGAGCCGGCCCCAGGATGCCCCGGGGGTGTGGATGACCAGCAGAGCAGCCCCACACGGCCCAGGCCCGGATGCCGCCGCCCCGCGAGGACCGCTCCCCTAGGGCCGCCGGTGGCCCCGCGCCCTAGTCTCCTGAGCCGGGGACCCCGCCCGTGCGGTGCCCGCCTGGCCGCCCAGGGGGAGGCGCGGGAGTGAGCTTCCCGACCCAACCGGCCGAGCGAGCGGCGCCGGCGCAGGGACCGGCCCCGGGGCAGGGGGCTCGGCGCGGCTGGAAACATTTTCCCGCAGCG